AAAAATTTTCAAATCGTACATGATGATGATCGTAAGTAAAAAAACAACGAACAAAAATAAAATTTACATAAGAAGATCAGGAAAGGAAAAACAAGTTTTTTTTTTGTTTTAATAGTAAATCTATTGAGTTATAGCAGATGCTTGTAACTAACTTTGTTTTTATTGAGGTTTATGTTGAAAAAAAAACTGTTTTTTTTTCTTTTACAAAAATTCGATTTTTTTCTAATATTTACTTTACACTCAATGGGTTCATTTTGTCTATAAAGTTTTCTTTTATCTTTATTTAAATTAATTCTTTTTTTGCACTTATTTTGTAGAAGATTATGTATGCATGCAATTCGGTCGTGTTAGTGATGGTAAGTTTGATTTATTTAAAAAATTTTCGATGATGCTAAAACAAAAGAATATTAGAAAAAAAACAGATAATTTGTGCATGATTAAAAGAAAAATATGAATATTAATGATCAAATGACATCATCAGGGTTCGTAGCGGAAATGAAAAAAAAGTTTTGTATGATTATATCAAGTACCTCGTAATCATATTCTTATTGAAATAGTTTGAACATTGTTAATTAGATGTATGTTAGATTATGAAAAGGTATTATCAATTTTGAGTATTAAGGAAAAAAACCATCCTGGATCTCTTCATGAGAAAAATCTTATTTACCATCATAAGTTTTGCAATTTTGTATTAATAAACAAAAAAAAAAGGTATATATTTTCGTCCAAGATGATAAGTGTATCAGAAACAAAGGCAGGATTTTACTAATACGTAAATATGTCAAAATTTTCCTTGATATACTTCAGCTCATGGTTAAATCTTTTTTTTTTTGTAAGTTCAGAAAAATAAATACTTTCATTATTCTCTAAGCTGTTTCTAAGTAACTATGTCTAAGAAAGTAAGCTATAAATATAAGTTCATCTTTTTATCGTATAAAAAGTACAAAAATAAACATTTATTCCAGGTAAAGAAAATTCTATTGACTATAGAGCTATATACAAGATAAAAAGAAAATCTCATGTTGTGTTTTGTCAGTCATTTTATAGCCTATTTATATAATGTTTTTATTTTCGAAAGTTTTTATTTGTATGAACAAATTTTAAAACTACTAGATAAACGTATTCCCTTTGATTAAAATAGAAAAATTCAAACTTTTTTCAAATTTTGAAAAATATCATGTGAAGACTTTCTTTTTGATTTGTTTTTTTGATTTTCGTTTGGATTTTTATGATCTTGAAATGTTATAGGTTTGTGAATATTTATTGAAACATAAGGCTAGATAAAAATGCATACTTGTATTACATCTAATATTTATTCTTAAAGGTGAACTAATCACATGGAATGCATGATCATCAGATTTGACACGAATAGTTTCTTTTCATTGTTAGATATCAAATATCTATTGATTCTTTGAGTTTGAAAACTATCAAAATTTTTCTATTTCAGTCAAAAATAATTCATCTGAATCATACTTTTATGTTTTCTCATATAAATAAATACTTGACAATAATAATTATTATCAAAGAAGAAAAATAACGGATATAATTTCAACCAATAATATGATTATATTAAATTACTTTTTCAACAATACTCTATGTTCTGCTTCTAATCGATCTAATCAGTAATTAAAAAAATTCTTTTTATCAATTAAATAATAGATTGTTAGAAGGCTGTGAAAGCGGAGGTGTACATCTTCAATCATTAAAAATTATTCATCATTACCCAATAAAACTACTAAGATATTTTAAATTTTTTACTACCTTTATGAGACATTTTCTCATACATTTTTCTCAATCTTGAGATCCTCATGTGGCTTCGGTAGATTATAAAGAATTAATCAGTTCACAATGCGATCTTCTATAGAAAAAAGAGCAGAACAATGAGTAAACGTTTTGACAGTATATACATCATATATATGGTGAAAAAAAAGTAATTTATCAAATGAGTGCATGTTAATTCTTTTTATCTTGTTCTGTCTTGCTATCATAATGTGTTCTATTGAACGGATAGGGCAGATCAATAACACCTTTTCGTTGAGTGCTCAGCTTTGAAGCGAGTTGCAAACTATTTTTATTAAAAGTCAAACGAGGCGAAACTTTAGGGTAAAACGCCCTTGATCACTACCATCAACATCTTATTGGATATTCTGATGGTTAGACATTGTAATTAACTCTTTTGAATAAAATCTTGAAGATATCATGAACATACTTCCTTCCGGTTTCGGTAATAAAATATTATTGATTGTTTTTGATCTACTTATTCGACAATAATAGATACCTAATGTAATATTGAAACTTAAGATATATCTGACGTATTTCATCGAGGGATTTTCCAAAACAAAAACAAACATTATTAATTATATGTAAATTTTATTTTAAAATATAATTTAAGATGTTTTCACATGCGATTTCAAATATCCATTATGTGCTGTTCAAGCATTTGGTATTGCTCTATCATCTTTTGATGGAAAACTTGCGTGCGAATAATTTTTTTTGTTTGTCTTTTTATTCCGTCCTTTTGTTTTCTTTTTCTTTTCTTATTTTCGTATATTGTACACATTGTTCGTTCTTATTTATTTTCTTTTTTTTTTTCGAACTAGTTTTTTTTTGTTTTCTATACGTTGCTTTATCGACTAGTTTTCATTTTTCAACCAAAAAAATAACAGAATGATTTTCTTTTTTTTTTTTGTTTTTGTTCAATGTTCTATGTATATGTCTATCTATGTTTGTGTGTATCTGCACGACTGGAAATAATAATAATAAAAAAAAAGAGAAAAATTATATTATATCATATTTTATTCAATATGTGAATTGTGAATTATTTTTCGATAGAGCCTACCAAAAAAAAGAAACAAAAAATCAATGAAAATAAGCGATTGTAAAAAAAGTTAAATATTGATTCAGTCCGATATCCAGATGTCAATGGTTTTTCTTTTTGTCGATTTAATGAAGACGACCACACAGATTACAAACTTTTTTTTTCTCTTGTCGTCTTTTCTCCTTCTTTTTTTTCTGTGATGTAAATTTGACGTGACTTTTTATTTTTTTTTACTAAAATACCAGCAAAGCCTATCTCTAAAACTTGATCAATTATCATGCGAGCGTTTTTTTCTTCTTCCTATAGTTTAACTGTTATAGCTTATTACTCATGCCTTTCGATGGACTAAATATAAAAGACAAAAAAAATAGGCGCAAAGAATGAAAAATGTCAGCTCAATAAAATCATCAAGCAAAGTTAACTCTTAGTCATTTGAAAGCAATAACGACTGAACTATGGCAGGCACTTGTGCAAAATTATTGTTGATGTTTGTTGCATTAATCATTCCCCCTATTGCCGTATGGATCGCAAGAGATAAAGTTTGCAGTGGTACTGTGTCACTTAATCTTCTTCTTACACTACTTGGATTTGTAAGTAATTTTTATCAAAATTTTATTAATTATTAATTTAAATGTTTTTATCTTTTTTTTAAAGATTCCTGGAGTCATACATGCTTGGATTGTCATTTGTTGTTGTGACAGTCTTAATTCATAACTTTAAAAGAAAATAAAATATTCATAAATTCTTTCTTTTCGTTTTTTTTTCTTCTTACATAAGAACATGTATACAAATAAAAAAAAAAAACCTGATATGTTTTATTCATTAACGAAAAAAGAAAATACAATTCGATTTTGTTTATGACTGAATTACAAATTCTTTTTTTTGTTTTACTAGGATTCATACGAAATAATGAAAATAGGCCGAAACCATTTCTACGGAATAAATTTAATTATATTTCGTACCTATGTTATGCAGTAAAAATTTGTTAACATTTTGCAAGATATACATTGTACAGTTCAATGTCAGCGAGACTCAAATTTTTTTAATTGAATATTATAAGAAAAAAAACGCGCACAATATATATATTTACTCGATACATTTTGTTGAGTTTAATTATAGTTAGAAAGAACATTGCCGAACAGTTGTGAATGAAAATATCTGCAGGAGGAAAAAGTATGACTTTATATTATCTTTAAAAAAAAAAAATAATAAGTGCCATTCTATATTTTACAGTATAATGTAAATCATTTTGTTGAATAGAACAAGATCAAGAAAATAAAATTTTGTTCATTTATAAAACTTTGACTCTCATATCATCTATTATAAAAATTGAAGTAAAATAACATGATTGATTGAAGAGTGATAGAGAAAGTGATTTTTAAAATGTTACTTCACAAATTGACTATCATTGATTTTTATTAAAGGTCTTTTTTATTTTATCTCTCGAACGAAATTAATACAAGACAAGGTTTTTTTATCGATTCGTAATTGAGATGATTCTTTTTTCTTTTATATCGCGTATATGCTGTTAGTTGTATCATAATGAAAATTCATGAATTGAGTTAGTATTATTCTCAACAACAACAAAAAAAAGAATTTGTCAATGTTTGTCAGACATCGATCTAGGAAGTAAATAAGAAATGAACTTCAATAGAACATTGAAGGCTATATAAAGCGGGACTATTTACATCCGTTTCCTTGTTCTTTATCCTAATCAAAATATTTTTTTTTCTATACACATGTCATTAAAAAACAACTGACGTTTTCATGTCATATTTCTCTCATACTTCAATGAAGACATTATCTAGAAAACTAAATGTTATGTGTATGTGCAGGAATTCTAGAGCATTTCATGTTTAAAAAATTGTTCAAATATAAACAAAAATCGTCAATCGTATCAATAGTTGCAATTCACACATATAAAAGTGTTGTAGTGAATGTGAAACTAAATCAAATAATTACAATGAGAAAAAATAAAACAAAAAATATTTAATGAACTATTGATGATTGACTACGTCGTCGATGTGAATTAGGTAGAATTGAAATTCCCATTTGATGTTTTGATTTATCAATGGAACGACGTCGAGCAGATTGTATTTGTTTAAAGTCAGCTAAAATTTTTTTGCATATATCAATTGATAAACCGGATATATCCGCAGCTTTTTGTTCTGTTGATGTACTATTATTTTTATCTTTTAATTGTAATATAGGCTTTTGTTTTGGTAAAACTAAATCTTGTTTTTTTTTATTTGTTTTGGCACTATGTATATTTCGAGTTCGTTGGTTTTGATAAGGTGAATTAGGTAAAATATTATCAGTTGTTCGTGATTTAGAATTATTTTTACGGAAATGATTAATGGTAGAAGATGGAATTGCGTCAGCAGTACTACGCGAACGATTATGCACAGAAGATTTTTTAACAATAGTCGGCGGAAGGTCATAGTGAACGCCTCGTTTAACTTTCTCTGCTAATTTCGAATTTTCATCATATTCTTCTTGAGGTGGTTGTTCTTTGATATCACCATATAATGGTAAATTATCTTTGAAAGGACGTCCTACATTTATAAGGTTATGTTTAGTAGTATTTGGTGTGCTACACGAACTATTTCTTTCTATATAATTTTCACTTCTTGATCGTCTTGAAGGACGAACTGAATCTGCAAATCTTGTTATTGCTCGTCTAAAACCACTCGCATATGATTCTAAACGATTAACATACATTGATTTATTCCAATCATGAGTAGCAAGTAATGTTAATTGAGATTCTTCAATAGCTTCAGCAGCAACAAGTACTTGTGCAACTGGACGTGATATTTGTAAATTATAATCTTTTAATCGAAAACATGCACTAAATGATGATTCAAGATCACTATGCATTTTACGTAATGCTAAATTTGTATGAAATAATCGAACAGCATTTTCACAACCATGTTCGTGGTGAAAAGCAGAACTTATTTTTAAAGCAGCAGATTGTACTTTTGGATCATGCACAAAAGTAAACGCAGCAGCTAATTGTTTTGCTGTTATACTTTTACCAGGTATTGGTGGTGGACCAGCATCACTTTTACTAATTACTGATCCCCAAAAGAATTGATCACCAAAAAAT